CCCTGGACAGGTTGCAGACGCTAACCCCAGAAGTCTGACCATGCCTCTTAACTGTTCCATGATCAGGGCAGAGCTGGGGTTGAGACACAGAAAGAATAAGTGTCTCCCACAAGTGCTTCCCGACCTGAGCCCTCCTTGACAGCTCAAGACCTAATCCTAGAGGTCAGAGGTCCAAGGAGGCAGATGGGCTGAGGGCAGGGCTTAGAGCAGACTGAACCTACAGCAAAGGTTCTTTCCTATAGTGGCTCCCATAGTCATGACCTTCCCAGAGGTCCTGAGCCTCTCCTGCCCACAGCCCAGCCTACAGGTCACCAGATGGACGCTTCTGAACTGCCACTCCCCAAGCTGGATGACATGAATCACCAGAGGCATTGAGAACCCAAGTGTAGTAGATGCTCATTAAACTTGGGCTAATGTTTCCCTTCCTGCTTAAAAGAGTAAGCTCTCTCATCAGCTATGAGTTCAACTTCTCCTGCCAGTCCCTCACAACTCACCCTGCCCTTCCACTTCTGACAACTGTCCCCTAAAACAATCCAAGACTCCCAGAGCTGCATGGGGTATCCTTCCACAAGCCCCACCCACAGGAAAACTTTCACACCCATATCCCAAGATGACAAGCGTCAGAGTCCTAGCCAGCAGGGCAATTCAAACTGTCACACAAGGAGGCTGGAGAGATGGTTCAGCAGTTAAGAACACTGGCTGTCCTTGCAGAAGACCCGGGTTCAAATCCCAGAACCCAAATGGCAGCTAACAACTGTCTGTAACTCCAGTTCTAGGGGATCCGGCAGCCTCTTCTGTCCTGCCCAGGCATTGCACAACACGGGTGTACTTACCTACATGCAGGCATAACACTCATACACACAAAATAAAAATAATGAAATATTTTGGCCGGGTGTGGTAGCACATGCCTTTAATCCCAGCACTCAGGAGGCAGAGGTTTGTGGATCTCTGTGAGTTCAAGGCCAGCCTGGTCTACAAAGCGAGTTCCAGGTCAGCTGGGGCTACAGGGAGACCATGTCTCCAAAGACAAAAACTAAATAAATAAATATTTTTTTAAAATTGTCTCACAAAGATACATTCCCTCTTCCCTCGACCCAAAGGTTAGTCATGTTTTCCCCAGTTCAGGAACTTGCCTAGAACTTTCAAGGAACTGTGTAAACAAGTGCCCCAGGCATGGCGAGCGATCAGGAACTGATTTCCTCGCAAAGTATGCTGGTCCTGGACCAATATTCCATGAAGTTTGTGTCCCAGGAGCTCAGAGGCTGGACATGGGACAGAGTCCTGGTGGGGGGACAACTGCAATGGGAAGTCAGCCTGGTACAGAGAAGTGGGAGAATGAAAGGGGAAGACTGGGGGTGACACAGGGCACCCCTGGCACAGGGGGCTTCACACCTGGGAAGAGGAGGTTGCCTCCCTGGGAAGAGCTGCTGGCCCTTTTGCTGCACCCTTCCTCACCCATGGAGCCTCCTCACCCACGGAGCCTCCTCATCCATGGAGGGGCTCCTGAACCATGGAGGGGCTCCTGAGCCAGCTGGGCAGCAAGCAGAGGCAACAGGCTAAGCCTGCTGACACAGAAGACTTAGGAATCACCCCATGCCCCAGTCAGCCTCAGGAAATCCAAAGCAAGACATAGCACCTCTTCAAACCTCAGTTTATCTGAGACCTCCCTCCTGGAACAATTCAAAGCTCTAAACAACTGGATAGCTCTTTGTGGTAAACTGGGTGGATCACCTGCCTGAGAACTTGGGGGGGGCCGCCCTCTCTATGCCTGGTCCTGGGGGACATAGCACCCAGGACTATAGACAGTCCCACTGATCCCAAGGAGTCAGGCCGGGAGAGAAGGCAAAGCTTACGTAACCCCACCTATTATCTCCTCTGACCTTTGCTCCCGGATGGCCAGCTTAGGAAAGGCGGCCTTATTAGTTGAGCCTGAAGGCCTCCTGGAAAAAAAAGACCTATTCAGCACCGGCTTGCTCAGTCTTTTTTTTAAGGGCCCAGATCACCCCCACTCCACCCTTCCCTTTAAACCAACAGAAACACAAATGGGAGAACAAACCCAGCTCATTTTGAGCGGTCAAATTTTTAACTCAAACAAGAAAAGATAAATGGTGTTCTTTGGCACACAGGCTTGCTGGCTGGGGGGTTCTGGTTTCTCTGAGTTTTGCGTATGTGTTCATATGCCTCAGCCAGGACTGCCTTGAATGTAGACGGCCACCTCCACCACTGCCACTTGAGGCCTTCCAGGGTACCCTACAGGGCTGTGGGTACAGCAGTGTAGCTCTCCTAGAGAGGACTGCAGGGACATAATTCCCTGGCCCAGCAGCAGGTGCAGTCACAGCCAGCACTCAGATGTGAACTTGCCCACGCACAGTGTGAAAGGCAGGCAGAGTTTGGAAAAAAAGCCAAAATGTGCCCGGAAAGCACCTTGATGAGGATTCCAACAACCACTGGATCATTGTGGGCAGGTGCCAACCTCACTGACCTCGTGGTGGTAAAGGGATCTGTGGGTTCTGCTCCACCTTCCAGAAAAGGGACAGGGAGGCAAAGTTAACCAACATGCCCAAGATCCATGAAGAAGTCAAGATGGCCCTGACCCTGCAGAAAATGGGGTTATCAACTATCCACTCTTGTGATAAGGAAGTGACACTTCCCAGCATGGGAGAAAGAGGGCAAAGACAGGTCAGGAATCAAGAAAAGTAAAGCAAAAATGACAAGTACCAAAGCCGTAAGCCATTCCTGGCCAAAGGACAAGCACGCCTGGTGGAGACCCACGTGGGCAAGGCTGGAGTCTTCTCTGCGCCTCGCCGCACATGTCTGTAACACAGGAATAACCTGAGAGAGCACCAAGAGCTACAGAGGCAGAAGCCCAGGGTCTGACACCACTTTTGCCACAACCTGGACAGTCTCTCTACCTGGTTCAGCACAGCCCTGATCCTCACCATCATAAAGCTACAGGTCCCCAGACTGAAATGCTCCTTTTTTCCGTTTCCAGGAATTCTATGCTCAAGGCCACCCACTGACTTTAAGAGACAAAACAAAAAAAGAACAATCCTATGTGTAACTGAAATTTGTAATAACAAGCCTGAGTTTTCATTTCATGCCAAAGCAAAGCTTTTCTGCTACAAAACTGTGGCAGTTTCGCTGCAGGGAGACTTGAGGCGGGGGATTCAGTAGGAAATCTGACACCTCAACACCTACCCATCCCCAGTGGGGTGGAAAACCTTCAGTGTGGCCGGCCCCTCCCTGCTGTATTATTCACCACTGCAACTGCAACTCTGGGACAGACCCTGGCATCTCCTTGCACAAAACCCAACAGACCTTCCCTGCAAATAGACAAGGACACTCAAGCACACCAGGGCCCTGCAGAGAATCACTCTGGCCAAGTGTCACTGATGACACAGCTGAAAACCAGCAACATTTCATTTCCCAGCCACAGGACTGCAGCAGTCCCCTTTGATGTTGCACTTGGGGTGGGGGGATCAAGGCCCAGAAAACAGACTCTCCCAGAGTCCCAGGAAGGGGAGGCCAAGGAGACCAGAGCACTGCAAACACAGGAGTGTGTATCCCCAACAAATTAAACCAGGAGCTCTTGAGTTGCTGGCTCTTGGCTGTGGAGCCTGGTGGGGGTGGGGGTGAGGCACCTGGGATGCAGAGTTACAAAAAGAAACCTGAGTTGCAGTGGTAGATTGCTAATCAGTAACAATATATCCCTCCAGCCTCAGTCCTGCCCTGAACTCACATGCTCTGGAAAGCCAATAAGAGGGAAATGGTTGCACTGCCCCCATCTGCATGGGGTGACAGTGAGTACCTGCCCCTACCCCAATATGCTGGCAGAGGCATCAAACTAAATAGCTAAAGAGAAAGCTAAGTCCTCGGCTCCCGGAGCCACTCAGAGAAAGAGCAGCTCCTCAAGGCCTAGATATATGGTGTGTGAAAAGGTGAAGAAGGCTTAAAGAACAGAAAGGGCAGGTCATTTTCCACCACCAGACAAACAGGTCTGGCAGTAGTAGCAGGTGCCACACACACAAGCCTCCAAAAACTGTGCAGGAACATGCAGTTGGGAAAGCAGAAAGTCACTGGACTGATGGCTAGGACAGAGCTGACTGCGGGGCTCCCAGACCCCCATGTGAGGTCACCCTCAGCACAGAGCCAACAGTAACCAGTGACTTTGGAAGACAGTGCTGACCTCCCCAGAGGCCAGAGGTCCTCACACCCACACACTAGCCACAGAAGACCACAGCACTTCCTGTAAAGCTTAGCTTTACAAATCCCTTCTGGAGGTATTAACTCCACCTCAAACCCATGAGGCAAGGATCAGCCTCTCCAACTTATAAACAAGGAAACTGAGGCACATGGAGAAAAGTCAGAATCCATTCCAACTATATCCTCAGGGAAAACTGTCGAGGCCGGGTTGAGAAAAGTGTCCCAACCAGTAGTACAGGACTTAAGGGCACCAGGAAGCCTCTTATCTCAGCCCTGAGTGCTCTGGCCCGGCTGCCTCAAGGTCTCAAGACCAGCGCCGGCATGCCAGCCGGCAGGCGATAAGAAGGGGAAGGAAGCGAAGGAAGAATTCCAGCCACAGAACACACGTGGGTGCTGACTGGGCCAGGGAACATCGGTTGCTCCGACCAGGAGGGGAAACTCATTTGCCCAAGCTCAAAGGACCTTTCCTATCCTCCCAATGCCCACGGGTTTTTTCAGGGTAGGAGGAGAGGCACCCCCAGACGGCCAGAGAGTGCTAGACACTAACGCAAAGCTATAGGTGGGAAACTTTCCCTGCAGCGGGCCGACGGCGCATTATAAGCCGGACAAGGATACCCACCATCACCTGACCCGGACACCATTAAAGATGCCCCAGTTGCTCAGCCAGCTTCAGTGGGGGATGCGTGTCTGGAGGGGAGGGGGGGGTCCCGTGGGCAGGAACTACCGCTCACATCCCCCCTGGGCCGCTCAGACACCCGAGTCAAAGGAAAGGGCCACCGGGTCCGCGCGGTCCTTACCGTGCAAGCCGTTGGGGATACTTCGGTGGTGCGGTGGCGCGGACAGGTCATCCAGGGACCGGCGCGTGGCTCCGGCCTTGCCGTCCGGACCCTTGTGCGGACCAGGGAGCAGCAGCGCGGGGGTCACGTGGTGGTGATGGTGGTCCGGGCTGCCACCGCTGCCCGCACTCGAGGTGCTGCTGCCGTCGCCCATGTCGCGAGCCCCGGAGCCCGCCGCGCCG